TGGGGAAACTAAATTTATGTAGTTATCTAAAGACAAATCCCTACAATCTTAGTTAGAACTAACCTGAGTGAAAACAACTGTTTATGTTTTTAAAAGTGTCTCCCGGCTTTCTCAAAGCTGTTGTTGAGCGTGTTGTTAGCCTTTCGTTTTATATGGATGAGTGAGTCTAATATAATCTTAGCGGAACCGAAATCATATTGCTGAGGCTATGCAAATTGACTTACCGTGGGCCGAAGACTTAAAAACTATTTGAAAATTAGAAATCAAATGAAAATTCTAGCTGAGAAAGTTAATTACTTGCTTTAAGGCCATTAATCAATTGAAATAGAAATAAATGATAATGAAAATTTCGACCAAATAAATGCAATAGTTGACAGGAAGAACCATTAGCACAAAGCACTGTTGGCAAATAATATAAATACTTAACAATAAAAACCTCTTAGCGACGTGGATCAAATAGGAGCCAAATAACAATCAAAATACTTATTCAACATGCTTAAGATAATGACAACTGACAAGAACACATTACTGTTTGGAAAGCAATATCAAAAGTGGGTTTTTAATGCTTCTAAAAGCCGTTCTTAAAAAGGTCACGTGTAAGTGGGATGGTTATTGCCTTTTAAAAAATGCAGTGTAATAAATTTGCAATTAAAATATGCTGTAGTTATTAAACTTTTGTCTGCTATTAGCAAAGTTATCTTTCACATCATATGACATTTACTCATCTGTCAGGTAACACAAAAAAGTGCCAAAAGTCTGAATATTATTTATATGCAGTCAGATTTTTCGTATCCTTTGTACTGATTCCCACATCCGGTCTTGCAACTACTGCAATCGGTACAAACACATTAGAAACGATAAGCACAAACTGGCTGCATAACCGGCCCATGATTGGGCTGGGACTTCCTCATATACTATTTTGTCTCAGTTGCATTTTATGGGTTCCATCCGTACATGTTTCCAGAAGAGAAAATTTCTTTTAGCATTTCGCTTAACTTTGGGTTAAAGTTACAAAAGTCTAGTTTACAATAAGGGGAGCTCAGATGTCCAAAACCGATAATGCCCCTATCAAATGTTAAGTAAATGCCTTTTTTTACATACTTTATACCCATTAGTTAAAAGCAGGCTTTTCCAAAAAAATATGGCACCTTTCTTTTGAAGTACAAGTCGCCATTGCACCTCAACACTTTTACACGGCTAAGAAATTAAGTATTTTGTGGCCTTAGGAGTCTTATACTGAACTAGTACATACGCTTCAATTGATGAAAAGTTGCAAGTTAGTTAACTCTTACCTGGAGTTCCACAACAAATAGTAATATGTATATATGAATTAAACAATCTTTAAACAATCGTACTCAATGCTTTGCCATAAATTTCTAAGACTTGTCTCTGACTTGTGAGAAGTCAGTTCTACATTTCCCGCGCCGGCCGGGGATTTTTTAGAACAAGAAAATTATTAATATATATGGTTTAGCAATAAGGTTTTTCCACTCGTATAATATGCTTTTTTATTCTCAAACATTCAAATAGAACAAGTTTATGAGTTTCAAGTTTATATATTATATATATCAATCTGTTTAAATCAATCGTACTGACCTGCATTTAGCTAAACTGATCGAGGCAGGTCAGTCTCATAAGTTCTAATATTACAGATTTCAAAAAAGAGTTTGAAAAAAAGAGATTAACAAGGTAACCGTGGAGAAAGACTTAACAAAATCAGAAAAATTCAATACAGTAGTTCGCGGAGCTCAAGCTAGCGCGCGCGACAGAGACACGCGTGTCTCTCTCGCGAGTGCCCGTTCTTTCTCGTGTCCATTTATTTCCTAGCGCCTGCTACACAGGCTATATTCATCTTCCATTTCTACTTTACAAATCAGCGAGTTTGCAAACAGAGTCGCAGTATTGTTAGAGTAATCTTCTGAAGGCTATTGATGACCAGTTCGGAAATCAATTAAGTTAATCTTGACATTTCTATCGTTCTGAATTTTCCGCGTTATGTTTTGGAAAACATCTTTGTAATTCGATATCCTTAGACTCTTTCCCCTAACCACTATCCTAACCCAAGAGCCATTATGGCTCTTGCCTAACCCTATTGGCGTAATAACCTTTTGATTTTTTTTTCTCCAGGACCCAGTTGTTTCATCATCTTAAAGAAGAGATGCTGTGGTGACGATGAGAGAAGGCTTATGTCACGTGACGTTTTGCCCAGACCCAAGGCCCTGTTTGCAAAAAAATTCCGCGAAGTACTGGATTATTACAACAAAATGGCAGCCGAAAACGACAACCCTGACGACAACGATGAATCGGGTGAAGACAGCACATTAAGAAAGCTGTCAGATTTGAGCAAGTACTCTTATGCAAGTGTTTGTAGTATTATACTGTCAAACTTGTTTGAGACATCAGCTGATAGGTAGGTCCTTAGATGCAGTGTTGACTGTAAGCTTAAATTTTGAATTGAAGAAGCTGCTGATCTTTTTAATTTGGCTGTTTGTTTACTATGTTAGATGTTAAACCACAAATTATTATTTTTTAACTTTTGTTTAGTTTTAGGGAAAAGTATATCATATTTGTTTCTGGAAAAAAAACGTTTTTTCGGTCCGTATATAATCCCCGGCCTAAGATTTAAAGTGGCTTATAAAATGCTCCTAGCCTATATAGTTCAGGACGTGATCAATCGATGAAAATCGATGATCGGAAAATCAATCGAGTAATCGATGACAATAGATTAATTACTGTTGATTAGCATCGATTGGCATCGGCCAATTGATGATCAATCGATAATCCCACTTGGGTGGTCGCGAACTTCATCGATTGCCATCGGTTGGCACTAAGTTCATGTCTCCGTATCTTCAGGTATCGCGGGAGAGTACGCAGATCGTATATTATTTTAACCATGAAAAAAGTCACTTTTTTTTAACCTAAATGACAGCTCTCTCGGCCGTCATGTGAATGCTGCGTCAAGCAAAACCTTAGAAATTCAAGCGTAATCTAATAAAAAAACAAGAACTCGCTAGTTTTTATACTCAAATAAAAAGCCATGATATCAAAATGTGTAACTTTATTAGTACTTAATTGAAATGTTTGACTGAATAGGTAATCGATTGATATTGCATATTTGATAACAATCTATTATGTTAATTGATCGATTCCCATCGATTGATATTGATAATCGGTGATAATGAATAATCACAAAAATTTTCGTCATCGATTGTCCATCGATTATCAATATCAATCAATTAATTGATATCCATTGTCATCGATTGTTATCGATTGCCATCGATTATCAATTGATATTGATAATTGATGATAGTCAATAATCACAAAAAGTTTCGTCATCAATTGGCCATCAATTATCAATATCAATCGATTAATTGATATCGATTGTCATCATTTGTTATCGATTGCCATCGATTATCGATTTCATCGATTGTTCACGTCCTGATAGTTGCAACCACTTGACATCGATAAGGCGGCCATGTTGGGGGTCAAGGTTTTTTACTTCCTACCATATCGACGTTGATACTTTTTATTTGTTTCTGACTTAATTCAGTACGCGTGTTAGCAACAACCGGAAATACGTCTGCGGTCACAGGCTATACGCGTGTATAGATACACGAAAATTCAAGGGCCTTCATTCCAGAGAAATTACATCATTGCCAGAGATCAAAAAAGTGATTTACATGGCACGTCATTTCAGTCATAGCCCAAAATAAACTGCATGTTCATCACAAGATCCATTTGCATGCAATAAAAGTTTACACCTGACCATCGCAGTTTTGCTAACTAAATTTCTTATTTTTTTTTTACCCCTCAGTAGTGTTAACTTAACTGTTCCAAAGTAATCAGTGCTTTCAAGCGATACAATTCTTGGACCAACATTTTTCGGAAAAAGCTCTAAGTTTAATCTTCCCTAAGCTTTCTTTGCAAAACATGTGTGGCTTCGATCACGCAACAATTCTTAGTCCCAGTTGCCACGGTCTCCGCAAGGAACGCCAATGGCACAATGACCTCCATTTGTGTACAAAATACCAAAAAAATCGTGTCGCAGATTATGAGTCTCGCTGCTTATGCAAGCGAGTCTAATAACCATTTGGAAAGAGTTGTAAACCATCATTTTGCAAGCTGTTCTTTTTTGCTTGACTTAACACTAATCTCTAAATTCCTGTTGGATTTTAGGAAATGGAGTGAACAAGTTATTAAAGCAATCGTAAAGCACCTTGATCTGCCACAACAAGGTACTGGTAGTACTTATACAGATCTCAGCTATGTTTCCCTAAATACTATACACATGTATGAGTCCCTCTAAGGTAGAAGGGGGGAGGGGAGGGGTTGGGTATGTATTTTGCTAGTCTGAATTTCAAATATGGTCATTTCAGGTTTTGAGGTGGAGTAGACCATGTCCCTATTGGTATTTTACTCCATCTTACGTCATTTGTTGTCATTTTATGCGGTTTTATGTGGCTGTTTCAAAGTCATGTCACTTGTTGAAATTTTACCCAAACAGGCTAGGACCTCATGACTGTATTGCCTTTTGGTAGAATAATCCTGATTCAAACCATCTTAATATACAAATCAACATACATACAATCCTAACTTCAGTGGAACCGTGTAATCCTATTTTTAGTAGCTTTTAAGTTTAAAAGTTAGGTCTTGTATTATAGACAGCAGTTTTTGGCAAACTGTTAAAGACTTGCTGTTAATTTTTGTCCATTAGTTCTCTCAACACTCCTACATTTGGTTCAAACTGAAAATTGTGAGGATGAAGCAGAGAAAATTGATATGCAGATGGCACCTCTTGTAGCTGCTCTCAAGACTGAATCACATTTGCAAGACACACTTGTACTACTTCCAAAGGTACTTTTAACACATTTACATTCAAGTTTCTCTTATTTCCACCCATCCTCCTCCCTTTCCTTTGGAAAGAAAGAGAGGAGTAACAAGGAATGGAAAAACTAATATGACAGGCTTTTTTTGCTACACTGGTTCCATATTGGAAGAAATGTGAGGTACATGCAATGTATTATTATGTAGTTAAGGGATTATATAATTTAAAAGAATTGGCTGTAAACAGACCTGCCAAAACGTTATGTGGGGCCCATATATATATGGTAAATTTAAAAACCTCAAGAAGTCACTAATTGGAAATGTTTTGTGAACCTGACTATTCCCTATAAATTAAGCTAATTCTGACATACGCATAAGCTACTTTGCGCATGCAGTTGTAAATAAATTTCCAGGCCTGGTTCCTGATCTGAAAGCTTGATTTGCGCTAATCCGGGATTAAAATTTTGTTTGGTTTTCGTTTTTTACCTTCCTCTTCATTGCTTAGAGTAATATTTTGTATTATCATTACCCTTACTGCAGTAGAGGCTCAACAGTATGTTATAAGCTTTAGTTGAGTGTTCTTTTAAAATACAATCCTTAAAATACAAGAAAATACTTAATCCTGGGTTAAAGTTAACTATCTCTATTGGTAAGTAGCTTTGTAAGTAGTTTAAATTATACAAAAGAGCTACAGTGAAACATCTTTAGGCTGACACCATAACCCCATTGTTATTTGTAGTATTATATATAATTATGGAAACATGGCCACCATGAGAATTATATGCACTTTACAACAAAGGTGTACCAAATATAATAAATATAATAACATAAGAACTACTTAACATAAGAAACTTTATTTAAGTGCAAATGTATTTAGCTGTACTAAATATAAGACAGCTAACTGGGGACACAAATCTAAAAATATGTAATAATAATAGTAATAATAATAATCTATGATAATAATAAATAGTAATAATAATAATGTTAATAATAATAATAATAATAATAATAATAATAATTGGGCACAATAATCTAAAATACATAATAATTCATAATAATACACATTAAAATCTTAAAAATCTTGAAATCACAAAATCAGGATCTGCAAAGGTCACAACAGTCACGGTTATTTACTAAATACTACAAAATTGATAGTATTCTTGAAAGACTGAAGACTAGGTGATTGCTTGACCTTGTTGTTTAGTCTCTTCCATAGTTCATGTCCAAAGTAATGAATTGAATGTTTGCTGTAGGTTATAGAATAGCTTCGCCAACAGGCAGTGCCCACGGCATTGTGTTATATTATATGCGCGCGCCGGTTTTCCCTTGTTTTTTCCTTTAGTTTTAGTAGTGTCTGGTAGGAGGCAGACTTACCTCTGTATACTGCTTTTAAGGCACGTTCTTGAAGGCGTTCTATTTTACTGCTGTCCAAGGCCTTACAGAAGTGCCATACAATGTGGCAGTATGTAAGGTAAGGCAGGATGCAAGACTTATAAATTGTTAACTTAGCTGAACAGGGAATAAGATTGTGCAGGCGCATTAGGATCCTTACTTTCTTACTGATATCACACAGTTCACTAATATGGCCACTAAAGTTCATACTGTAATCAATGTGGATGCCAAGTAGTTTGATGTAATCTGTGTTTGTAATGACCCTGCCATGCATCTATGCTTATGTCAGTGTATTAGTCTCCTAGGTCAATGTTTCTAGGATTAAGGATCATTGCCTGGAATTTGTCAGGATTTGTGAGTAGATAGTTATCACGATACCAAGATGCAGCAAATTGACCTTCCTACTCTAAGGCTTCCCTTACAGCTGTAAAATGAATTCTGGACGTGTACAACTGGTGTTGTCCACGTACATCGAAAGTTTAGTGGTAGTTATGGAGCACGGCAGGTAATTCTGAAATAAGTTCCAAAGAAAGGGGCAGAAGGAAGACCCCTGAGGACACCTACTGCTCATTTGATACCAGCTGCTTTCCCCAATCTTACTCTATCTTGATGGTTGTTTAAGAATGATCGCATGAGGTCTAACGCTGAGTGTGACTCAAAACCGTATGCTCCAAGTTTTGTTAGTGTCAGTGAGTAGCTGAAAGAGTCAAACACTTAACTCATATCAGTCTATAGAATACATACTAGCTCTTTTCTGCGTGTCTATTGCTAGTTTCCAGTCCTCAGTTAGACGTAGTAGAGTCTCAGGTCTCACAGCTGTGTCCCTTTCTGTAAGCAGTGCTTTGGCTTAAGAAAATATACGGTTGAGTTTCACAGTCACTTGTTTACAGAGCAGTTGCTCTTGAACACTTTGTCAATGGTTAAGAGGAATGTTATCGGTCTGTAATTCTTGACCTCTTGTGTATCACCAGTACCAACAACAACAACAATGTGAACATTACATTAACCCCTGCTTCTATTAAAACTAAAAGTCTAATTGTTGACTTAAATTCCTTTGTAGCTGCTTCATGTAAACAGTTTAAAATACTAAAAATTTATCTTAATCATTTAATGCAGCTATTGTGCAAATGATTGATTAACTCAAAACATTAAACGTGCTTAAAACAAGTTCTTACATATGTATCTTTAAGTAACATGGTTGTACTTGCATAATTTCCAATACATTCTTTATGTACTAGGATTTGCTGAGTCTTATTCAGGAATTAGGTAAGCTGTGCATCATTAGAATTTGTTAATAAATTAAACAAATTCTGTATATAAACTCACCAAGTCTGATTTTGAAGCTCTTTGCCTTCAGTTTTATTGTTTTAGGTAAAACAACCTCTTAATCCTTAAAAATTTAAAGGAATAGTCAAGTTTTATGATTGAAGTGGCTTTAGATCTCAAAGTTACGGTATAGTTTAGAAACTCTCATCTGCCCCCAGTTGTTCAAAAGATGGATAGCACTATCCACCGGATAAATCTCTATCCAGCAGATAGGGGTGAGGACAAAACATGGACCAGGGGTCCATGGACCCCCACCTTGGACCAGGTCCATGGACCCCCTGCCCCCTGTCATGGACCAGGTCCATGGACAGTTTTTTTAAAATAATGAGAAATGAACAAAAACAGAAATAGAGCAAAAATAAGATTTAAAACAACAACAACAACAACAAACAATACTCGATTGATCAGTATTATTCAATGCACGACTTTTACCTCATGCTGAAATGCTGCTTGTTCTTATGAATTGTTTCCTCTGACGGGTGGATTATGCTTTGGTGGCAAACGTTTTGACTGAGCAAATGTGAATTTTTTACTGCTTACAGTGAAACCTGTATTAAGCGGACACCCTTGGGGAATGCTGTAGTGTTCGCTTTAAAATACAGGATGTCCGCCTAATACAGGTTTCGATAGATACTGTCATATGAGGTGTCAAATGCCATTCAAATGAACAATGGAAACATTCAGAATTCGAGAGACTACAATGATATACGTTTGCATAAAGTGGACCACCTGATCATCATACCATAAACACAGATTGCAACTCAAATTTGAAGAAATCAGGTGAGTGAAACAAGCTCTATACAAACAAAACGAAATAGAAAACAATAGTGTACTGTGAAACCAATCAAGTCACGTTTTTTAATGTAAAAATCGAAGAATTTGTGGGTGGCAATTCAAGTCCATCTTTTGCATTTCCAGTGTCTGGCATGTTGGGTGGTGGAATTTCATTATTATTGTCTGTTTAATACAGGTTGGCAACAATAGAAATGACCATTTCAGGTACTTTTTAGGTGTCCGCGTCTGCTATTTAAAAATATAGAGGCCTCCGCTTAATAAAGGTTTCAGTGTATTTCATGCTGAGAGGTCAATGTTTGGTCACGCTGGGCCCAGCTTGTTAGCATTTTTAGCAGGATGATTAATTCTCATGGATAGTGATTTACAGATCTAAATATCGAAGAAGTGGATTGTAGCTTAGCCTGAATTAAGCTACATCAACTATGGACAATTGCGATGTGACTCAGTCACGATTGCTCTAAAAGCAATGAATTCTAAACTTCAGCTTGTTCATAATGCGAGTCTTTGTACGAGAGCGCGTTGGCTTAACAGTGTCTCCTTCTTCGTCGACTGTACATGTGCAAGCAGAGTATGTATAAGCACAACTAAATATTTGTGAACAGCATCTTGTCAAATCTTATTTTTGCTCTATTTCTGTTTTTGTTCAATTCTCATTAATTAAGAAAAAGTGTCCATGGACCCGGTCCATGAAAGGGAGTCCATGGACCCGGTCCATGAAAGTAGTCCATGGACCCAGTCCAAAGTGGGGGTCCATGGACCCCTGATCCATGTTTTGTCCTCACCCAGCAGATAGTGTAATTGATTTCTGTGATTACTTATCCACTGCATAGTGATTTATCCTGTAGATAGCACTATCCAACGTTACAAGAACCGGGGCCTGGCATATAACCCATTCAATTACTAACAACTCTCTCTACGTTGGTAACTTGTTCAGTGTGCCCTGCATCTTAGAGAGGTGTCTGCCTCATAAAGAGTAAAAGATTGACGACAGAAATATACAGGTAGACATGCAGTAGGTGTTCAATTTAGGAAGGTGTCTCTCTTTAAAACGCGCCCTTTATTATAACAAGAGAGCTATAGGTTTCTGCCCTTCTTGTTGATTTCATGGAAAGTAAGGTCAAAATCCAGTATTACACTGTCCACGCAAAGAGTACCGGTACTTAATGTGGACTCTAGTCCCTGATCCGACTTTTCTTTATGTACAGAGTGAAATATCAGCTCTAATATAATCATGATGTTATTTCACTGCAGGTGGTTATGATGCCAGGTTAAGAGTTTTGATATTTTATTTGGGGGATCAGCTACTGGTACAGCGTTCAGTGCTGAAAAATCATGAAAATGACCTTGTTGAAAGGTTAAAACAACTGAAAAATAGTGAACCAAGGTAGGGAAAACATATCTGAATGCTCAATTGAGATATAATTTTACTTGACTTCATTGTTGTATGTATAATGTCCACAAGGTTTTGAATAATTCTATTCCTAAAAAGTTGTTTCATGCTTAGCAACTGACTATCAATGCATGAGGCTGAGAACAGTGAAATGCGGTTTATATGGACACTGAGAGGAAATGTCCCTAAAGTGAGGTTGTCTATATATGGGAATATGTGACTTGGGACACAGAAAAGTATCTGTTGTCAGTTTTAACTGGTGTCTGTATTAAGTGGGTTAATTTTACAGCAAATATAAGAACATTTCATCGGGACAAAAGAAACTGTCCATTATATATATGCCGATTGGGTGTCCATAGAGCACAGTTCCACTGTTTTACATAAAGAATACAATGATTTAATGAACCTCTATAAAATAAAGTCCGTTGATATAACTCGATATAATTTTTTTCATCAAAATCAGTAAAGAAATCGGTAAAGCGTGGCATAAGAGTCTTACGCGCACGAGGCGTGTGAGGCGAGAGAAAAAAAACCGTATTTTTAGCGTCTCTCCCCAGTTTCGCTTTCTGTTTTCAGCCTCATTCCAGACCTTTTGTTTGACTGCTCGCACGTACTTGAATAAGCAAAAATACGGTTTTACAGTCTAGTTTAAACAAAATCTAGGAGCGCAAATTAGTGTGTACCTCGGTGAAATTGTTTAGATCTGAAAATCCTAGTCATGGAAAATTGTAATATACCTAGTAGCTGTGTCCCTTGGTTTTCAATAGAATGAACCCTTTTTATAATGAACAAATTTCCCCAGTCCCTTGGCACTTTGGTAAATCGAGGTTCCAGTCTATGTGTGGATAAAGCTGATTTTTGTTGCTGGTTATGAAGAATAAATACCTGGGTGATTTAAGCTAATCAGGAATGGAGAAATTTTTTGGAATGAATACAATGTAGCTGATTAAGCTGTTTTTATTGTTCCTGAAAAGCCCCCTTAGGAAGGAGACAATACTGTAGATACATATGAACAGTATAAAAGAGTGTTGGCCCGTGTCAAAAGTGCCTCATGGGGAATAATTAGGGGCAATGTGAATGCCAATATCAGGGAACTCGCAATGCATACAATATATTTTACAAATGCAGAAGTAGAGAGGGAGTTTTCATTTATCCTGGTGTTTGTTTGTTACTGTCCCGTCACTGATGTCAAGCAACCAGAAACAACTTTTAAGATAAACAGTTACTTAATTAATGACCTAATCCCCAATTGCTGCAGGTCGAAGCTGAGGTTTCATCAGTTAAGACTATAAAAGTTCAGTGCCGGATCCAGACTTTGAGGCAATGCAATTCAAAGTCCTTGTCCCTAAAACCAGGCTCCCATAAATGCTTTCATACCTTTCTTAGATTCCAGGCTATCACTTGGTTATCACTCTTCTTAAAAGAAAGCTACATAACAAGCGTCATATTGATAATGTTAATAACAAATCTTGCACTGCACTATTTGTACATGTACAGCTGTAATATGTAGTTGTTATGTCTCAGGAAGACTTTTTATATTGAAGTTTTGGTTTCACCAAGCCTTGCTCATCAGAGTTGTATTCTTTTTTAGTGAAGATGCTGAGGTACAAAGGAAAAAGAAAGTTACAAGGCAAAGGAAAAAAGCTTTTATGATTGCACTGGGAGCAATAGGTGGAGGAGCTTTAATTGGTATGTATTGTACGTGTCCCCTATAACGTGTATAACCTGCGACCGCAGACGTATTTCTGGCCGTCGCTAACACGCGTACTAAGAAGTACGAAATCAATTCAGAAACAAATAAAAAGTAAATATCCCGAAGAATACTCGACGTCGATAAGGTAGGAAGTAAAAATCCTTTAGCGAGGAAATCCTGTTTCGTGTAGAATTAATCGTCTCCTCATTTCTCGATCTAATCTCCAAGCAAGCCAGACTAACAGCCGCTGTAAAAGCGTTCTTGTTTTAAGACAGAAATTCAGATGTATGGCCTTCATATAGCCATGAAGCTTTTCACTAACAGCTAAGCTTCCGCGTCACTTTCTTATCTTGTGTGATGTCAAAATGGTTGTATATTGCGTGCATCTTCCAAATTTGATCAGCACTGGCTGGTTATGAAGAATAAGCTTGGGAATTAAAGCCAATCAGAAATGGAGAAATATTTTGAATAACACCATCATCATCTATGTTTTCATAATATCAGAGAGCTTTACACTGAGTATGTTAACAGATGCGCGTAAAGTCGCAGTATGCTTGAGGTGTTCAATGGTTGGATTAGCTTTTTCACAACCTTTCCTTATAAAATGAAATTAAGGAAGAAAACAGTACAGTACAACTCTAGTTACATAATACTCTTTAGTTACATAATACAAACGCGCGTTTTTTGATTTTGTGGCCAGAGTGCAAACAAGCAAAATTATAGACAGGAAAGAATTTTACATCCTATTAATCTAAGTTTGTGGCTTCTAAGGAGCATTCTTTGTTTTGTGTATTGAGTAAGCAAAAGTAACTTGAATATTTGGTTCACCATCACCATTAATTCGCCACCATCACCTACCATCATCATCATCATCATCATCATCACTGTTGTCGTCGTCGTCGTTGTCATCGTTAGGGAGTTTAAGATACCGCGACGGTGACGACCACGAAAACGTTGCTTCAAAAGTGAATTTGCGTTCTTTCGATCTCTATCGCGATCACTCCAACTCATTTACTTTGTCAAATGCAAGCGGACCCTTTTTGAGCCGAATTCGTAAGAATCATATTCAAGTTCAGAAATAGAAAGAATATTTAGTCGTCGCTTGTTTACTTCCTCCATAAAACGTGAAAATAGGCATTTTCCCGTCGTAGTCGTACAGTGGCGGGAAAGAAATGTACATAAAAGCGTGATGCACGAGCAGAGTTGTTGTTTTGCCTATTCACCGTATTGATTATTTAAAAATTGTCGTTGTCCTCGCTGTTGTGACATCTTAAAGTCCCTATTGTGAACTTCACCGTCACCACCGCCCATTGTTATCCTCAGAATCATGATCATTTATTGTTGTTGTTGTTATTCTTGTCTTTTCTCTAGGTGTTACTGGAGGACTGGCAGCACCGTTGGTAGCAGCAGGTGCTGGTGCTGTAATTGGGGCCAGCAGTGCAGCTTTTCTGGGTACCACAGCAGGCGTGGCAGTTATTGCTTCGTTATTTGGAGCTGCTGGAGCTGGATTAACTGGTATGTTGTGTATAGATCTAGTGATATCCACTCATCTGTTTTTTCCTCTGCTCTCCTTCCTCCTTCTGTTTCTTCTTTCATTCCTTTCTTCCTTCTTTTCACTATCCTTGCCTCTCACCCATCTGACGATTTGACTTCCGCTTTAGCTTCTTTCCTTCATTTCTTTCGTATTGTTAACAGACTGAATCAGAACCAAGGATAACTCTCTCTCCTCAGTCGAAGGTCTTATAAGTCACTTCCATATTTTTTCATTTTTGTAGTGGGTACTACACTGCCAAAATTTGGTTGTTTATGGTAAATGGTAGCTTGTGGCAGGTTCCCAGGGACTGTCCTTTGGACAAGCAGCTTTCACATTTTACTAGGCGATGGCCATTACTTGCTTCCAAGTCTTGGTCAACGATGATTAAGTCATATGATGACTTGCCAGAAGTGAGCTTAAAAAGTTACTTGCCCAGCAAGCTAATTCATTTGTCACGGAGAACAACGTTAACCGAACGGGAAAAAGCTAATAAATAAATGATAAAAAAAAAGTTAACTAAAAGTTTCCCAAGCACTGGGTAGCAATTACAGCTGTATGGTGCTTTCACGAAAAAATATGATTTCGTATTTTCTCAGTGGACAGGTTGTTACCTATAAAAGGTTTAGTTTTATTCCTCGCAAATATGCTAAAAGAGGAGCTTGCGCGTGCGCAGCGGAAAATTATTGCTATGGAAATTGGAAACCTATCGATGCGAGAAAATTTGGCTTTGACGTCAGCGTACGGCCGCCTGCCCTTACAGGCTTTAGTGGGTGGAGGAGAAGAGACTCAGTAAGGGAGTTGAAGGGAGGGTCAGACATGTACCTTCGGTCTGTCCTGGTGTAAAATTATCCAGTTTATAGAGGCAATCATTGGAGTTGCTTTTGTTATCGACAAGTGAAGCTTTGTGTAATTTTATGTTTGTAGTATTTCGTGTTCCTCTATTGCGCTGCTACAAAATAAACTACAACAGCTATCAAGATTCTTCTGTTATTTACAGCTGGTTTGATGGTTTGTTTATTGTATTTGGGTTGAAGAAAGCGTTGCATTAAGTCAATGGAATGGCTCTGAAGCTTTTAAATTCATGGTCGCAGTTTATTTTATCGTAGATTTCTCTCAAAGTCGATATGCAAGAAACAAGAAGGCTACTGCAGTGAAAGACGTCGAGTGGCCAAACGAACATTTCAATCATGTTTATGCTCGTCATTTTTTGATTGTCAAAGCGATATGAAATATCTGTATACTGACAATCTCTTATAGATTAAATAAGGGTGTTTTCTCTTCAGCCTTTAAAAAGATAATAACTAGCTCAATAATATATAACTACATCACCAAAACCTAATAAGCCTTCGTCACAAAAATTCAGCAAATTGAAGTAGAAACTGTTGAATCAAAAGGCCCACAAACAAGCGAGCTCCATGTCACACAGTCGACGAATTTACTACATTCACCTGTTCAGAGTATCGCCCTACATAACCTGTCAAAGCTGTAAACACAAGATGTCAGTGCGGAAAATAGGGCTCTATTAGGCGACAAATAGTCTGCACAGAACAATGCACCCGTAAACTAAGTAGGTGTCGCGGAATTCTGGGGCTTTAAAGTTATATGTTTGTTCTTAGTAATTTAGCTTTTTAAGGAGAAGGAGACTCCGCTCAAATATTTCAACTTCACCTTTTTTTCTTTTTAAGACATAAAAATTTTCAAATAAAACTGAAGTAATTTTTACTGTTCTCTAATTTTAGGTGATTGCAAAGACTAAGGTATAAAATACCTGAAAATTGACTTTCGGAATTCCAATCCTGTGTTTTGCCTCTTTTCGCTCTATTGAAGCTGATGGGAGAAGCAAACATTTGTTTCAAAAACAGGATGTCTAAAATCTAACAGCGTGATATACATCAGGTTTTACCCAGCAGCTGTTCAGTTATAGGTTTTGGTGCTTAATAGTAAACAATTCAGGGGAAATTGTGAGTTAATTTCAGTTTCTTATGATGTTTCAACCCCTTCCTATAGTTTATATAACATTATATGTGCTCTTCTGACTTAGCTAATCCTATCTCCTTTTATAGATCGTTTTCACTGTCACGCAACAAAAAAAAATAAATAAATTGGAAACCGTCCGGTGGAAGAAGCCAAGGAAATGAAATGTTATAAAAGACTAAAATGTAAACGATTTGTCCAAATGTCAGGTCTTTGTAGCCCACAGTTTTTGATCATGAGTTATTTGCCGAAACGTTTCATGCACCTTTGTAGAGCTTTGTATGGAGACGCCGTATTGGTGCACCGTTTTGGTCCACCAATATGGCCGCCGGAAATCAACAAAAACAACTGAGGTTCACTTTTTCTATTAAAGCTCTTTCTTTTCATTCGAGAACTAGCATACGTGCGCATAAACATGTCTTCTAATACTTGAAATGGTTATACTGCTGAAAATCAAGGAGAGACTTTTTTTCAACGAGACAGCATTCCTATTTTGGTGTCACGCACTGTAAAAACTCAAATTTCTGTATTTTCGAAATGAAATATGCTACGGGAATGGAAACTTGTGCAGAGATTTATTTTTTATTTATCTTCAACCTTGTGTAAATAAGAATTCGTAAAACCTCGCTATTTTGATTTTACAATTTGATGACGTCACAGTGAAAACTATCTATACGGCGGGACAGTATGGGTGGCGGTAGTACTTGCCTTCACCTAATATAGTTTATATGGCACCAGTTCGCATCCCAGAGTCGATACCATATAAGTTCATATTTGGGCTTCCGCTTTTCCATTTGGGTTTCAGCTGTGAGTGCACATGGCTGAGTTCTTAGTAGGAGTTCCTAGGCGTTTAATGTTTTGTCGTTAACTGACCTTGATTGGCCTGTGATGCACTAGGCAGGCGAGGTAATGGAAAAAACAAAGTGAGGCCTAGGCCAGGCCAAACGTCGAACTTCTCATGATACGAACCAAACTCTAATTTAGGTCGACCTAAATTAAGTTATGGTCTTCTGTTAAGTCAGACGTCGAACTTAGGACACGCCGAACCAATAAATTGAATCAGACCAATAAGCAATTTTAATAACCTTTCTCCCAAAAAGGCTAAATGTACATTATCATACAAATTTTTAATTTATTAGTTTAGTTTATCGCACGTGAAGATTGATGTTTGTCCCGGAGACGATCTTTAGACGTTCTATCCGTCTGAAGCAGGCGGATAGAACTTGTTGGACGATCCAAACTCCTTCAGACGAACTTAACTGTCTGAGCCAAAAGTCGACCTTTTCATGAACTTTATAAGTCACTAAGTCTGGTTCGTCTCATGAAAAGTTCGACGTTTGGCCCCAGGTCTGAGCTATTACATTCAAAATGGTCCTTAATAAACTTTAATCAAAACCAGTAAGTCTCAGATGGATAGTTACAGGGTAACTTTTGTATTTTCAGACGTTATAGCGTATTGAAGACCACCTATGTTAATGAGATACATGACGTCATCGGCGTTAATTTATGCCAGTTAAAAAGTTTATTAAATCCACAAAGAAAAGAAAAACATCCCTATAATTAGTAGAACGCCGGCATTAACATCTAGAACGAAGGCATTAACTAGTTTGTGAGTTTGTGTATAAATGGAAAGACACGACGTTCTAGATGTCAACGTTTTCTTTGCCCTAGATTGTTTCTGAACCCGATTAATTCCTGTGTGCCTGCATAATTGCGGCTGTTTAACATAAAACATTTGAATTGTCTCCCTTTCAGGTTACAAACTTGTTTCATGCTACACTCGGTGTATTCGACGAATTTATGTCGTGAAACTACTTTGAAGCAAACACGGTTTCTTTGAGGTTTCCTTTTTTAATTGTTTACAAATTAAGCTTAATTTATGTTGTATGAATCGTTTCTCATTAACAATGGAGACGCTTATCGTTTTTTTGTAATAACTAGCTCAGTTTGTGATTGAGCGTCACCTGCTCTCGGGGAATAAATATATATAGTTTTTAGAAGAAACAATGCCAGCCCATATTGCGAGCTATAAAACATTTTTAAAAAGTCGACGCGATCTTTTTGCTTTATGGTTTTCTTTTTATTTAAGTGCCTTAATTCTCGCTGTCCGCGCGGTAGGGAAAAATGAAAAAGCGCCAGGAAACTAATGGACGAAGAGGTGCTTTACCAAAAATTAACAAAGAAACACACGCAGGATTCTCCTGTCGTTGAAAGGCTTCGATCGAGTACAAAACTGTGTGAAAAGTGGCGCCGTTTGCTTTTTCCGTTTCCAAAATTAACCCAACCCAACATGCAGTAAGTGAGAACTATTTTAGAAAATGTTCATTAAAAGTAACGAAATCAACAGCGTAAAGGCAACAAGTGAAGCTCAGAACTAGAAACAACTTACTTTGTTTTGAAGGACGTTGATTAGCTTTTGCAAATTCCTCTCGTTTCGTCGCGGAGAAAGTTAAACCAACCGTCCTGGATGGGATAAGTTAGTGGTCACTCTTTTTTATCTTTATTAATACGTTTACGTTAACTACAATAATGACCCACTTTCTCTGTGATTTTGGCAACTGATCCGCACCCTTTTTGACCCTATTCTACTTTAATTAATAAACATGTGAGAGGATAAGCGTTTAGAATTAATTCGGTTTCTTGGGTGGATTGTTAACATTTTTTAGGGAACTGGCTTTATGCCTACCGTACTTAAGAAGACGACTTCATCTCCGGTGGAGAATAAGAACTTCAGGCCTATTTCTAATCTTCGCTTTGTTTCCAAAATCATTGAAAAAAAGTCTTGCTACCCAGATAATTAAGTACCTTGATGTTAACTTCCTCTGTGAGGTTTTTCAATCTGCTTACAGAGAATTTCATAGTACAGAGATAGCACGATCTGTGTTCACTTGACATTGCTATTGCTATTGATAATCAGGAATCAGTCTGTAATTGTTTTGCTTCTTGATATATCGGCTGCCCTCGATACTGTAGACGATGATATTCTTCTTTTGCCTCTTTGTAAACGTTTTGCTGTCACTAGGTTCTGTGTTGAAATGGTTGCATTCGAGAATGACAATCATATCTTCCTGATCGTACAAAGTTCGATTTTCATCAAGGTACATGGGGCTTCGTCTGATCATCAGTAACTCTCCAGTATGGTGGTGACCTCAAGAAGCGCCTGTTGTTGTGATATTCCCATTATTGCATTCGACGTTTGGAGAGCGCAACACCTAATTCCTGTGATACTTGGTGATCCTGTGGTGCGGGTGACGTTTCCGCTAATAGGCAACTTTCGATATATTTAAATTCAGCATGATGGCGAGTCTTAGCGGACACAAACAAAGAAAATGGTTTATTCACGTTTACTCATTTTCTTTGTTTGTGTTCTCTAAGACTCGCTATAATGCTGAATTTTAATATATCGAAAGTGGCCTATATATGTCTGCATTTTTCGACGTCATTTTGAATTACGTCACATGCGCATGCGCATCACGCTTTTGATCACATCAACAACTGTTGTCGAAAGCAGGGAGTTATTTGAGTTCGGCGAGGAAATGAATAGTTTTCGAAGCAGGTTTTATCGCTGAGCTGGCGATTCTGTCCTACCTTTCTCGGTGTTTCTACATGGCTAGGTCAAACGATGTTATACCAGTCAAAACGAGCTGAAACAGGTAACAGTTGGTCATCTGTGCTCTATTGAGGAATTTACCCGTGCGTTTGAGTCTATTTATGTATCCGCAGTTTTATTTCTCACCTGCACCAAGAACAATCCGGGATAAAGTACGTCTGCAGACTTTTTACCCGTGTATTCCTCCTTTTATACGTGTAATGCTTTATCGACGTCTGATATATCTGCTCGGCATCATTTCGCCTATAAACAATAAAACACGATGAACTGACGTACACGATCTGAGTAAAGTTGAATAGTTCGCACAGTGACATACAATGGCAAAAGTTGTTGTACCGTTATGATGCATGTCAGGTTCATTTATGATTTTTTTTATCTTCAAGGCGGGGTGTGGTGGGCTTGGGGGGTTGCGTTTTTGTCGGGAAAATCCAAATCCGGATTTCCGAATCCAAAAACGGATTTTGCGTTTTTGAGGGGCAAATCCAAAAACGGATCATGAATCCATTAAATCCAGACTCAGGGCGGATTCTTCGGATCAAACCCAAATCAGGATTTTTGAGATTCACAATCTGAGCGTCTTTTTGGGACTGGATTTGAAAGAAGTATTTTTGACGAGCGGTTTTTCGAAAAAAGAAATGGTACGCGACAGGAGCCGTACATGTATGACATTCCAACTGAACCTATGTTGGTGGCGCCTTATTTTTAAATCCGCTTACTTGTCATGTTTTTTGTACGTATGTAGTGTCTGCTTACGCCGGTTTATTTTCCAAGTAATTTAAAAAAACAATTCATCGGCTTCAGTTTTAAATAATTCTGATAATTTCACTATCCTAAGGAGTGTATTCTATTCGAGAAACGTTTCTGTTTCAAACCGAAATATATCTACATTTCGTATATTCATACGTACCTTATGTTGCTCGTTTTCTCGTTGAGCTTCGCAGGCCTGCCACCTACTTTCTCTGTTTCTCTGTCTATCTTTTGCTCTATATTCCAAATTTGTGGAATATACAATTAATCTAAGCTTAATACCTTGGACAACACAGATAGAGAAACAATTTCCGCTTTCCGTTTTCGTGCTTATTGACTCTACAGTTGTCTCTGCTTTACAAGACGCCGGTGGTTATGTGATTTCCCGCCAAAATAACCTCGAGTTGCATTTGGGTTGCCATACCTGTTGATTGAGTTATTTTACATTGGTATGTTTGTGGTGCGGACGGACGGTCGGGCGGGCGTACGGTCACGTGATTACCCAATTTTCTCGGATGGGTAGATTACTTTATTTTCTTACCCGCGGTGCTCCGCTGCGCGCTTCGCGCGCGAGAGCTCCGCTGCTAATCAGCCTTCAATAATACATGCGCTTTATAATTATTAAGAGGTACATGTATATCTGAATTGTTGTTTGACAATAATTTTGGTCTGTCGTATATTTGTTCAAATTATTAATAATAATGGTAATGAGATGTTCCAGTCAAGAGTATATCACCAACTGATTGCAATATTCATTCAATCAGATCGATTGAAATAAACGGTTCTTACATGAATACAAGTTTAAGAAGCTCGTATCGACAAATCACAGAGCTGTGATAGGTGTTGATATAACTTGAACGTACTAGAACTGTGATCCGTGAATTGTAAGCCGAAGGAGAGAAATCAATTACTCGATTACTCTGCAGCAGCTACAATTACCAGCCTGAGATGGAAATGCGAGAAGCAAACAAGCCAGAGAAAAAAGGCGGATAACAAGATGAACAGCGCCTCCCCCCCCCCCCAAAAAAAAAAAAAAAAAAAAAATTCGGGGCTACAAGTGGTTTTGGCATAACCCTTTTTTTAGTTATAAGTTAAACAAAAAGAGGAAAACTAAAAGAAGAGGGTATTGTGTGGGGTCGTAGGAAAGTTGAAAAAACCTTATAAGATTTGGAGTTACGCGTTCGCACGTCCCCCCCCCCCCCCCCAAAAAAAAAAAAAAAAAAAAAAATTCAGTGCTAACAGTTGCTTTGCGCTAGCCCCTTTATTCGAGTTAAATGTAGCAAGTCAGTGACAACTGAAGAGACCTGGCTATTGTTAGTGTGATTTGAAAGCTTCTAATACACATTAAACTTTGTAGGATATCGTCTCAGCAGAAGGATAGGAGAAGTCGAGCAGTTTGAATTTGAACCACTTGGAAATGGCGAGCAGTTACATCTTGTTGTCGCTATTTCGGGGTGGCTAAAAGACGATGAGCAAGGTTTGTGTAAAACAGTATTCACCCGTAAAAACATTACTAGAAGGTATAGATTATATAGCAATACAATAATTGACGCGGACGGACAAACCGGTTTGCAATCGTGGTTTTTAGAAACTGGTTAGCCACCAGTTTTTCAAAGTTGATTTTCGGGGATGATTATTTAATGTATCTACATATTATTTCAGTTTTGTTCGGTGTACGTTTTGCCCAGTTTTCATTTTTGTAAAAACTGTTTTTCATCGTTATTTAAGTTTTTTTTTTATTTAATTATTTTAGAATGAATACAGCACCAGTATGTGCAGTAAAGTATTTTCTATTCATTTCACACTATGCATGGAATCCTTTTCCTCTCTCATGTTTGTATAGACATAAAGACTGCATTTCAGGATCCGTGGAGACATTTAAACATTTCGTTAGAACAGTACAGCTTGATTTGGGAGTCAAGGTAAACTATGGCTTGTGCTACAGCGGCTGTCAATTCAGTGTCCTATTTTTTCCTTTTTATTCTCGTTCATAAGTAATGAAACCTATCAATTTACTTTCTTTTGAAAGAAAGTTAGTCGTACTTTCTGGATGGTAAATGACTGTTTTTTTATGATTGTTATTATTATTATTTTTTTATCAAAACTGACTTGCACTCAAGTTGTACGAAATGTAATATAGTTTTACTTCGTATAAAATGCAGACAAGTTTTACCTGAGTGTGTATCCGGCAGAAAGTGATACGCTTCATAGTATATAGACCTGCATGGTCTTATCGCTTGGTTGTTGGTGTATTCTGATTTAGATCTCATCATTAGTGTCGCATTCTCAGTATCTAAATAAGTTAGTATTTGCAACGTGTTATCCTTTACTGATCCAAATTAACGCCTATTGATTTACCCACAATAATGACATAGTTCAATCAACACGAAATTCAGTTTCCAAAGTAAGTGAAATAATGCGACAAGTTCAAAAAAATGAAATGGAACACAAGTAAACTAACACGAAATGCGACAATGACAATAAAGAAGTTATGGCGGTAAAGTTCTTCCTAATTGCATCTGACTGTTTGCTATAAAAACAAAAAGCAACATCTTTGAATCAATAATGGCAAAATTAATGGAGCAAAGCCAAAAAAGGGTAAAGATAATGATAAAAGATATTGTCCAGTTGACAGTTAAAAGGTTTGATATTGTCTAACAAAGAAGATGCTCTGAAATATTTAAAATTATGTCTGTAAAAAACGTAATGATGTTTGTTGAAGAGATTGAGCTAGTCTCGACGGGGTAAAAGATTAGAGATGAACACTAACACATAACTGTTTTTATCAGTGTGAAAATTAAAGCTTTTGAAAATCCCTTTGGTGAATGGAACTCGTAAGTGTTCGTTAACGTTTTGAAATGTGCGACCGGGTCTTTTCCAAACGCGTCGCCTCAACCGATTGATAGATAATGGGTTAATAGATAAAAGCATTTCTGATTTCAAGTTAAAAAGACTTCCCTTGCCGCCTTAACACCTGCTACAGCTCAGTCCATTAGCACCAAGACCGATTAAAATACTAGAGTAAGTGCATGCTGTCCAAAGTTCATATTTTGTAATATCCCGCAGTAGGTAGCTGCTTACATAAGTTTGAGGAACTTCTGTATACATATAAGGGACTGTAAGATCCAACGACTCGACGACAACGAGAGCGTCGCTAAAAAGTGAATTTACGTTCTTTCAGTCTTTAAAGCGATTATTCCTACCCACTTACTTTGTCAAATGTGGGCGAACCCTCCTGAAGCTGAATTTCAAGTGACCATGTCCAAGCTCAGAAAGAGATATACAATTCGTCGTTGCTTGTTTACATCCTCCTTAATACGCGAAATAAGGCATTTCCACGTCGTAGTCGTGTAAAAACGGGAAAGAAATGTACAAAAAAAGTGTGATGCACGTGCGAAGTTGTTATTTTGCTTATTAAACCTATTGTTTTTTTTACCTTCTCGTTGCCGTCCGCGCCGTTGGATCTTAAAGTCCCTATTGTTTTTCTACAGGTACTTGGCTGAAATGGGAAGTGCGATGTATTCATTCTTTACTTTCAATTCCATCAGCTTTGTTACACAAGAGGCTCTCAAATACACCGTCCTTAATGATATGAAGAGATATTGGTGTTTCTCTTTGTCGATGACAATAAAATAAATCAAAATCGTTGTCGAAGATAAAGATGTGAATGATTGCCCAATAATTCTACTATATACAGTGAAACCTGTATTAAGCGGACACCCTCTATTGAGCGGACAGTGGCCGAAGTCCCCAAATTTATTTCCCTTGAAATGAAACCTTTATTAAGCGGACACCTCTATTAAGCGGACGCAGACACCTAAAAAGTACCTGAAATGGTCATTTCTATTGTTGCCAACCTGTATTAAACGGACACTTGTAATTAAATTCCACTACCCAACATGCCAGACACCGGAAATGCGAAAGATTGCCTCGAATTGCCACCCACAAATTTTTCGATTTTTACATTAAAAAACGTGACTTGACGAACTTATTTGATTAGTTTCCCAGTACAGTATTGTTTTCTATTTCGTTTTGTTTGTATAGAGCTTAGTTTAATCATCTGATTTCTTCAAATTTGAGTTGCAATCTATGTTTAAGGTACTATGATCAATTGGTCCACTTTAATAAGGAAATTTATGCAAACGTATATCGTCATAGTCTCTGGGAGTATTCTAAACATTTCCACTGTTCATTTGAATGGCATTTGACACCTCATATGACGTTATCTAATGACACCTGTATTAGGCGGACACCCTGTATTAAGCTGACACTACAGCATTCCCCGAGGGTGTCCGCTTAATACAGGTTTCAATGTACTACAATACAGGTGCCGTAGTTAGAATTTTCTACTTCATGGGGTAGTGTTACAAGAGCTGCTCAGTCATATATGCGGACGATTGATGATAGCAAGTTAAGTGACTGCTGTGATCAGGCGCTCAAACCTTAACCATCCAGTCAGCTGAGATCATGTTTTGAACCAATGGCAAAACCCGCACATAACCACCATACATCTTCAACTTTAGTTTTTGAGAGCAAACATCTTTTCTTGGCGAGTAAAACCAATAAAGCCGGCAGAAGCTCTGCTCTTACCGCGGGTAAACTGTCTACTCACCACCAGGAGTAGCAAATTTGGTGACTAAAAAATTAATCGTCAGTTACTGCTACAACTACCCTGCGAGCAGAGGCCCTTCGATCTTCCTAGATAAGTCGGGAAGTCCCTTCCTCTTCCCGACTTATCTAGGAAGATCGAAGGGCCTCTGCTCGCAGGGTATGCTACAACAACATTTACAAACGATCCTCGCCGACCCGTGTATCACAAACAACATTGCCAAATAGTTATTTTTAAAAGTCACAGATAACAGACAACAGAGTCTTGGATGGTATTTTTGTTTTTGTTCTTTGTAAGGTCTGATTACAGCTATTACGTGGCCATTACTTCTCCTTCAACTGGGATATGCTATTGACAATCCATGGAATGTTTGCTCACGAAGAGCTGCTGAAACAGGAAAACTCCTGGCTGATGTCCTTATCTCCAGACAGCTGGTCGGTTATTAAAATATCTTAATACTGTAGACTCACTGCTGAGCCTTTAGTTCAAACCTCACGCTATATCGAACATGTCTGTGTACAGTGAAACCTGTATTAAGCGGACACCGTATTAAGCGGACACCCTGTATTAAGCGGACAGTGGCCAAAGTCCCGAAATTTATTTCCCTTATTCGCTTTAAATGAAACCTTTATTAAGCGGACACCTCTATTAAGCGGACGGGGGCACCTTAAAAGTACCTGAAATAGTCATTTCTATTGTTACCAACCTGTATTTTCGGACACTTGTAATTTAATTCCACTACCCAACATGCCAGACACCGGAAATGCGAAAGATTACCTCGAATTGCCACCCACAACTTTTTCGATTTTTACATCAAAAAACGTGACTTGACGAATTTATTTGATTTGTTTCACAGTACAGTATTGTTTTCTATTTCGTTTGGTTTGTATAGAGCTTGTTTCACTCATCTGATTTCTGCAAATTTGAGTTGCAATCTATGTTTATGGTACTATGACCAATTGGTCCACTTTGATAAAGAAATTAATGCAAACGTATACCGTCAAAGAATTCTTAACATTTCCACTGTTCATTTGAATGGCATTTGACATCTCATATGACGTTATCTATCGAAACCTGTATTAGGAGGTTTCACTGTATTTTCTTACGTTTAAAATAGGGCAGGAGACCTGTGACGCTGGTTGGATTTAGTTTGGGTGCAAGAGTGATTTTCTTTTGTCTTGAAGCTTTGGCCAAGAAAGGTAAACCCTACTGTCTACATCCACAAAAGATAGCTGTTATATTTTACACCTTTATCTTTTAGAGTACTAAGGAATAGTGGAGGGCGGGCAGTGGTGGAATTTTTGACGCGACGGAGATAGTTTAAGTTTGAGTTTATTGATAGTAAATAAACTAAAAAAGCTGAAAGACTGCGGGTAGTAGCAGGGGTAAACTTAATTCCCCTTTCAAGGCTACTCTCCTTTCGTGAATAAAAAAACCCTAATATTGCACTAAAAAACTCTAAAATATGTTATAGGTATAATAAAATGAGATTTTTTACAAGGTAGCAGTTTATGTCAGAGAGACCGTGTTGCAGCACTGGCCACACCATAGGGTTGTTTCTAAGCTCAGCATTTTTGAATGGCGAGTGAAACGAGCTGCGCGGAAATACGCGAGCGTCTTCTCTCGCGTGGCGCTCGTGCTTGAATTCTCACTACATCCCCCAAATGGAGAGCTTGCTCGCAGGCTACTCTGCTTCCCAAGAAAAGTCCCCAGTGACACGCGATATGAGTATGAGAGTATGGGATACTGCGATAGACTAGCATCTCAGACTCCTAGGTACTTCATGCTACAGAAACCAGTATAAGCTGCAGTTATGTGAAACTCTTTGGCTCATATTACACTTTTACCTCTACATTATGATTGACATGATTGACAATGTATTATCCAAGTGTCGTATGACAGCCTCGTTCCTTTTCCGCTTGCTGTGTTGTATGATGTTGTATGTATCCCTGTTGTTGTAGGAGCCCTGGGGATTGTTGAAGACGCCATTCTTTTGGGAGCGCCAGTCAGCGGTGATGAGAAAAAGTGGCGATTTGTTGGTCAAGTTGTTGCAGGAAAACTTATCAACGGTTACTGCAGGTTTGTGCCTGATTGGCTGTAATTTGGTATCCGTCTTGTGCATTCTCATTTTGTGATTTTATTACTCTTTCTTTTCTTTTCTTTTTTTTTTTTTAGCAAGGACTGGTTTTTGAGATACGTTTATCGTGCTGCTTCTGCCCAATTATCAATAGCTGGATTACAAGCAATCAAGTGGAAAAATCGAAGAATGATTAATGTTGATCTCTCTGAGCTGGTACGTCCCAGATTTACATGGGTCTTTTTACGATGGAACTGTTGACTTCTTTAGTATCTGAAAACAATGATATCTGTCAACAAGTTAGGCTCGGATAACCTGTAAACAGCCAGCAGTACGCCTTCGGAGTGGGTGAGGACAAAACATGGACCAGGGGTCCATGGATCCCCACTTTGGACCGGGTCCATGGACCACTTTCATGGACCGGGCCCATGGACCCCCTGTCATGGACCGGGTCCATGGACAGTTTTTTTAATAATTAGAAATGAACAAAAACAGAAATAGTGCAAAAATAAGGTTAAAAAACAACAACAACAACAAACAATGCTCGATTGATCAGTAATGTTTAATTGTGCTTACATAGTGTAAAAAAAAGGGGGGGTGGGTACCTCATGCCAAAATACTGCTTGTTCCAATGAATTGTTTTCTCTTATGTGTAGATTATGCTTCGGAGGAAAACCTTTTGACTGAGCAAATGTAAATTTTTGCCGCTTATTTCATACCGAGAGGTCGTAACACACATATTGATTTTCTACCTCTTTTAAAATGTAAAGCTGTTCATTGCGGCTGATCAAAAGGGTTTTAGGTTGTTTATAAATTTCTCCAAAGTGCATCCTGGATCTGAATGATTCTAAGCCACTTTCTTTTTGTCCATGAATGTCACTTTTTCCTGCAATGTTTTTTCACGCTGGGCCCAGCGCCTTAGCGCTTTTAGCAGGACGATTATAAATTCTCACGGATAGTGATTTACAGATCCAGATCTTGAAGAAGAAGAAGTGGCAGGGATTGTAGCTTAAACTGAAGCTACATCAACTATGGAGAATTGCGATGTGACTCAGTCATGATTGCTCTAAAATTCCTCTCTTGGTGATAACTTTTGAATCAGCTTAATTTAACAGTCTTGCGACTGCACATGTGCAAGCAGAGTGTATGTCATGTAAGCACAACTAAATATTTGTGATCAATCGTGAGCATTGGTCGACAGCGTCTCGTCAAATCTTTTTTGGGCACTATTTCTGTTTTTGAGTGTCCATGGATCTGATGCAAAACCTTCTTATAAAAATAAAAAATAACTGTCCATGGACCTGGTCCATGACAGGGGGTCCATGGACCCGGTCCATGAAAGTGGTCCATGGACCCGGTCTAAAGAGGGGGTCCATGGACCCCTGGTCCATGTTTTGTCCTCACCCCTTCGGAGCCATCTCTTTACTAATTCATGCTTTCTTCTGTTTAATTTAAACCAGTCTCTAAAATAAATCATCTCAGCCGGGACTGTCTGACTTATTTCAGACAATCAATCACACAGGTCTGAGATGATCTTTTTCCAAAAGAATATGTATATAGTAGAGACGTTCTGCGAAGGCCCATAACCGGTCGCAAGAAATTTTAATTCAGTGTGGCTCGATGTGGCGATCTGAGCCTTCCTTGTTGTGTCTTGTCGTGTAACCCTTGTTTAACGACAATCTTAGTAGTTAGATTTGGTTCACTGAAACGTAGCCATCATTATGAGGATTTCTGTAATCATTTACTGCAAGAAATGCAAGGCATTTTGACAACGTCATAGGTTGTGTAATTTCAAAACTATCATTAAGCACGCTGACATCATATGGCATGCTTGCCGTCCACCCAAAATGTCTCACTGGTATTGTTGGTGGTTCATATGTCGAGAGTTCTTTTGCTCAAGTTTTAACCTCCCCTGATGTAGATGGTTTACCTTGTAATATTTGCTAATCTGTATTTGACTTTTTGTGATTTTAGATTGACGGTCACTTGGAGTATTCAAACCCCGACAAAATTAAAACTGTACTTGAAATACTTGGAATTGATACCAAGTGTTGCGAAGCCGGCGCAACAGAAGCTGAAATAGACTCTGAAAATATCTGCACTGTCAATCAAACGGTACCATCTCATGACGAGGCTAAGAAAGTTGTCATGGAAATACTGGAAGAGAGAATTAAAGTTGCGCTTGAAGTGTGCACAATGACTCATCAGTCCTCTGAAACAGAACAACAGGACCTGCACGGACACGTGATAGTCACATCTTCTGAGACATAATATGAGTGTCAGTCTAATATGACAAGGAAATGGACCCTTTGCAGATTAATAGTCACGTGGGACAAAAATCGCTTTACTGTAGAGCATGAAACGAGACGCAGCCAAACTTCGTCTCTTTCAAGATCCGACTGTGTTGTTTGCTCTCCTCCGAGCAGCGAGCTTTTGTTGTACCATGTGACTGTTAAGCTGCAAAGTGCCCATTCAGCCAGTCTACGTCGAGAAGTGTAGTGGTTGCCAACCTTCTGCCAACTGAATATGAATCAATATGTCACTTTTGATATGGACAGACTTTTTTTAAAAAATACGCGCATCTTCGGTTCGGGACAATGAACTGGAATACCGTTAATATTACGTGCTAAATGATTATATTATGCTTACCAGTCACCGTACTATATTACAATACGCCATTTCCGAGTTACCTCAAGCCTCTGTTTCAAAGCGAGGCTAAGTGCAAAGCCATTGAAGGCAAATACAACTTATTCTCAAAAGAAAAGTTTTGATCTTAGCCTCGTTAGATTTGAAAGTGAGTTTTTTGAACTTGGAAATGGTCTATTTAATGACAACACAAACACACGAGGGTGTGTTCATTTGGGGAGATTAAAAGGCTCAGGATCTATCGGACCATGGTGCATAACAGAGCATCAAAGGAACCGCTATCTGGACAAGGATTCATCAGTACTCCTGAGTGACTGTAGATCATGAATCCTGTTGCGGATCATCCAAAAAGAACGTATCCCAAGTTAAAAGACATGAGGACATTTCATAAATTAGTTAGCAAATTACCAGCTCACTTGATGTGAAAATAGCAAAACAAAACAAAAAAACAAATAGTTAGAATTATATTGAGAAAGGGATGGAATTCTAATGTACAGTTATTGATTATGTATTTTTATTAGGTCGAACTAGGGACATAAGTTTCGTCTTTGAAGGAAAATATTTAGATGTCAACAAATCCAGCTCAGTAAATAAATTTGTTTGAAGTGATAAGTATAAGCTCTGACAGTTAATTTTAAAATACCCATTTTTACCCGAGGAAAATTGCTCAGTTGCTGCTTAGGAACGTTGACAGTGGCAAGTGAGTTATAGTGCTATGAAGGTGATATATCGGCTTTAGTTATGACGTCATTACCCATGGCACGTGTTTTTCGATGTTTGTTTACATTCCAGTTCGTTTCCGCTTCGCGCTGACTGGCGGAAAAATCAGACAGCTCAGTCGACGGAGAGCCACAGCCTTGAAATTGGAGGTGGAATTCAAATTCCAGAGCGAAGTTGCAAGCTCTCCCTCCTTTTCCCGCCTCGCGGCCATAGCGCCCCCGAGAGCTTGCTCGCAGGCTAATCCCATTTTCATTGTTTTGGACTATTTGTGATTTCATCAAAATCCATTGAGGCTGATTTAAATATAGCGGCGATAGGCGATTTTATTTGTAATTTTAAAGGTATTTTTTCAGTATCGTTTTCCTTAACTACAAATTTGATCCAGACGAATCCATGACTGAAGCTGGTGACCACCACGTAATTTTTTATGTAGTTTTAGACGTCGGGCCTTCTGTGTGTTACAGGAGAAAGTCCCCTAGCTCTGAGTACGGTTCGGTAAGTCCTGTTAACATGAAAGAAGGTTTAATCTCAGATGAGAGGATTACCCATTACCTCCATAATAAGGTGTACTTACCACTGTAACAAGATTTTTTTTCGATTCACGAGCAAATTTGTGCCAAAATGTAGGAGGAGTACCTGCGGGGAGGTGGGGGGGGGGGGGGG